TTTTTTTAAGTCTGATTTGAAAAAAAAAAAATGCGTAGTAACTGGTCTTTCCTTGCTGCATTATACCACTGTCATATAGAAAGGATCTGCAGGGGGAAGAAAACAAAAAAAAACAAAAAAAAACTAAAGCAGCTATTTTATCAAAAATAGAAACACTATTGCATTTTTTTATTCTTTTAAAATTTGTATCATCTGGAATGTCCATGCACAGCGCTGTCCTTTCAGTCCTTGGGTTCCTAAGGGTCTGATTTCCCCTGGACTTTTCAAGACATCAAAAATCTCCCCATAACTTTCTGAAAGATTTTGCAGGTAGACAAATGCAATCTACATTTTAATTGAGTTTCAGCATTTTGCCACCATTGCAGTAATCTGTAAAACTTTTTTTTTTCTTGTTTCATTATTGTTTAGTCTACTTAATGCTTCAAATATGGTCTGTACAACTTACCCATCAGTTGAATACATTATTGAATTAATATTTTTCATGAGAGTAAGCCTTGAACTAGGTATTGAGTGTAGCTTAGTAAGAAGAAAATAATTTTAGTATATATACAGAACACCCCCTGTTTAATGAGTGTTGAATATCTAATGTTACCTAACTTACCTGCAAAAATCTACAATTTCTTGTTGATCTAATTATGTAAGTTATGGCTTCTAAATGTCTGTAGTTCAGCCTATCTGTAGATGCAGGTATTTAAAAGGTCAATCCTACATGTAAAATAAATGACTGTATTAAAAATATATAGTGTAGCCAGAAAGAAAGAAAACATTGTCTTTTGTGGTTTAGCCAATATAATTCATAATAAAATTTAGAAAAGGTTTATAAAAATGATTATGCCAAGAACTGACCTGCTTTCATGACATTCCATATATATTCTTCAAGATAATGATCTGGAATGGATTTATATTTATCAATCCTATAGCAAAACAAAAAAAATTGAGATTATTCTTTTTTTTATATATTTTTAAGATTCTGGGGAATTTTATCAAGATAACCATGAGTGAAATGATGCCGGAGCTTAAGTTAGCAACCTAAAAAGTTGCGCAGTAGCTTTGTGAAAATATAATTCTGCGTGGTCTGATGTTTACTAGATTTGTGCATGTTTTATTCTTTTTATATTTTTCTTTCTGTGGGAGCCCAGCCGCTCTGGTGAATAATTCCACCATCTTCTGGTCTCAATAATGATAACAAGTCTTCAGTCGGCCTACTAGGTTCTCTAAGTAAAAGTAACTTCAGGAGCCTTCACCTTAAACAAGCAGAAGCAGTAGGATGCTCTTCTCTGCCACTACTGGCTTCACAACTGGGAAGTTTTTGGTTGTGTGCTGCTGATTTAAAACAAGAGTACAAAAATTTGCCACATGATGGCACCAAAAAAGAAGGGAAAATAATTCCTGGGCCAGCTTCATGGCAGACTGAAGTGCTGTCAGCAGCACAGATCAGCTGCACTGTGATGTGCAAAAGACAATAGCTTGTGCAAGTGATGATGACATCAGTGGCTCTGACAGAGTACTAATATACTGACCCCATAAGAGTATCCCTAACTTTTTTTAATCTTGATTTCAAATTTGTGATTCATATTGGACCAGACCACAGACCTTCCTTCTTGTTATTTAATTATCTATATACAGAATTTCCCAGGTTTCTTGGTACTCCGTAACTCTATAGCCGCCGAGATGTGAAACTTCCCATGGCACAGCCCTTGACCCTTTTCCCCCTTGCTTTTTCCACAGAGGATAAGTACAGCGAGCGGCGATGGCCGGCATTATTGCTACCCACACTTTACATGTGCAGTGGACACAGAAAATATCCGCAGAGTGTTCAACGACTGTCGAGACATCATTCAAAGGATGCATCTCCGCCAGTATGAACTCTTGTGAGGGGGATCACCGTGGAACCTGTGGTTTTAAATTCTTTGCTCCTTACTCTTTCTCTTGATACTACCCCACACAGGGTGGAAGAATATACTATAGAAATGTCAGTCTCTTCACTTTGTTTACTTAATTATTTAACCTTAAAGCTGATTCGAAGCAAGTTTGGGTTGGTTTTCCTTCATGCTTTTTGGGACTATTTTTGTGCTTTATTTTGACATGCCACTTCTTCGTCATTCCACTAAGCCCTTTGGCTACCTCTGTTCCCTTAGGTTTTGTTTTTTAACTGAACATGACCTGCTAAATTTTTTCCAGCAGGTTAACATCAGTTCAAACTGGTATGTCAGCTGGATGACACTAAAGTCATACCTATCCCTCTGTGTGGGTTTCCTTTTTAACATGACATTGAAGAGTACTTGATGGGTGAAAAAAGATTAATGCACTTTGTATCAGGTTATTAAATACTGTTGAGGAAGTAGACACACAATGTAGCAGCACCACAATATTTATTACTCTGTCACAGTTTTTAGCATTTCTGAGTTGCAGGTCAACTGATAAAGTGACCTCCTCTTTTAAGCCGTTACTGGCACAGGAAGTAGAGTAGATAATGAGAGGAACAGTGAAGACAAAGCAATTTTTCTGGGGTTTTGGAGCTAAGTGTCTCTGCACACCTCAGGCATTTGAATTACAGCTACTTTTCAGCCTGTTGCATCTAGGCAGAAAATTTACCACCCTCACTTACGTTATTTGTGCTGTCCACAAATGATCCTTTTAGTTCAGATCATTCTTGGACAACAGTCCTCTCCCTATATATATTTTTTTGTTTTACTGCTGGTTTATTATATTGTACAGACTGTAAAATGTAATATTATTTTGTACAACTTTATTGAAGAAAAATACTTGTAGAAGATCTTTGTGCCTTGATTATGGCTGTACCTGTAAAATGAGCTAAGATGTAAGTATGTTTTTGATTGCGCTGTACAGCTTGATGTCAACCTTACCTGCAGCAGTGACTGGAGGTAAGAACTTTATCTGTAGAGTTTAGGGGTTTTTTTCTGGTTTATATAAAAATGCTCTTTAGTATAAAAATTATAAATTATGCAAATTAACCACTTACCTTTCCAAGTAAGGTATTACAGTCACCGGATGTTGCAGCAAACATGCCTTTCTCTTTTGAAGTCTCAGCTTTAAAACATTGGAATTCATTCAAGTGTCCAAATTGCAACCTGGTGTTGTTTTAATGGAAACCAAGGATTTTTTTTTTTCCTTTATATTTAGAAAATATGTTTGGTAATTCTTTGGTCATTCATAGAACTTCACAATTGCACAGACCGATTGTGAATGTGTAAAACACCATTATATAGAGCTCTTTAATCTTTGTACCAACAGCGGCTTTCATTGTGCAAGTAAATAGCAAGAAAGAAGAAAAAAAAAAAAAAGGTGTATAAACCCTTGTGTCTGGCCTAAGAGAATTACAAGATGACATTTTTATTTCTCTTTTAATAAAGAGACACATTAGAAAATTGTTTTATTTTAAATATTGTAGAATCAAAATGTGTGAATATTTCTCAAACTTGAATAATTTATGCAAATGACATTCTCAAAACAAGTTGTGGTACAGTACAATATATAAAAAGCAAGAATTGCTGTAGCAATAAGGCATGTCCTTTTTAGTAACTATAACACTGCTTTATATTTTATACATAGGTGTTTTATGTCTGTGACTATATACTTTTCCTGTGTCCAAGATAACCTGTACAAATGTCTAAAATTACAGTTGCAATAACAGAAACCTAGAGAAGTGTTAGACTACATTACTTTATAGAGTGTTTTACCACACTTTGGACCATTCCCCCCCACACTTTATTTTAAATTTAGGGAGAGATAAAGAGCTAACACATTCCCCCCATTGGCATACAAATCAGCAGGTTTGATTGATTAACTTCACTATAAGCATCATTATTAGTTATAAACCCCAACCGCTTGTCTTTTGAAATTCAAACTACAGACACATTGAGGACTTGTTTTTATTTGATGATAAACAATCCCATTTTAGATACTATAATACGACCATTTCTTCTTCCCAGAAATGCGTATGCTTTGCTATCTGTACGTTCAATTAGTCATCAGATATTTCCCAGAAAGGCTGGGTGGAATAAGCTAATAATAAACAAAATTCCCAAATGCAAAGATTCTCTCACTTCCCATGCCAAAGAAAGTAGTAGAGCGAATAACAAAAGATGAGTCTTTTCTTTAAAAACACCCCCCAGCCCAGGAGTTCAGGTCAGAGCTCCCAGCCTCTGCAGGAATGTCAGTGGGAAAACTGGTCCTGGTGTGAAACAGCCCCTCCGGTTTTTCTGGGGCAGGTGGGGAGCAGCAGTAGGTTTGTCACATCCTCCCTCATACACAGCACACAAAGAGCCTGAGCTCAGATCTTACCTCCTCAGCGCTGCCAGGCCCTGCAGCCCAGCTCCGCGGCCTCCGCCTCCCCGCCGAGGAGCTGGTGCAGTTCAAGCTCTACAATAAAGTTCACAGGGCTTGGCGGCCCTGCAGGAATTGAAAATAAGGTGCATTCCTATCCCTGTCTGTCCGTAGGCTGAGGGCCGAGGCATAGGATAATGTTACTGCAGCTGTATTTGACCTTCCTTCTTGCAGAAGATCGGCAACTGGAGGGCCCCTCACCACACAGATCTCTGGGATGCAATAGGGCCCTCTTTTTTTTAAGCTCATCATAGCACATCTTTGTAAAACTAGCAGCTTAAGGTGTCACCCTAATTTTTTTTTTTAAGCAGGTTTCAAGTGCATATCAGCAAACTGGATCCATGAGCTTCTTCCCATTGTTCTCTGGTAGACAATAACTTCAGTTGTAGTCAGCTAACAATTTAATGTGTCAGGAACTGGAAGATTTCTTGTCCCAAACCACAGTCCCTTCCATATGACATCCTGAAAAGGTTACAGAAATCCGCATCTCTCAGTGCTGATGTATCTAGTTTCTGCCTGACCCTAACAAACAGAAGTATGACATTAGAAGGGCCATGCAGCAATAAAACAGAAGAATGTTTCCAGTTTGCAAGGACTGAGCCTCCGCCAGGGTAAGACACTAGTGCAGATAAGTGATGAGGCTATAGGATTTACATAATGTACAGTTACACTTTTAATATACATATTTGATACAAAAATTATAGCAGGAAAAGGACTCATTTGATTGTAGAATACAGTATTTTTGTACAGCATGAAACGTTCATTTCAGTTAATTATTTATCCTGTAGTAGTCATATCAGCTGTATAGGACTTCTATGGTATGTGTAAATGCAACCTGCCTTCAGACTAGCAATCAAATTAGGTCATTTGCTGGCATGAATATAGTCTGATGTTTGACTGTTCTCAGCTTTGGTATTTCAGTGACTGAATGCAGATGTCTGGCTCTTCATACTGCTTTATGCTTACTGATTAAACGCTGAGCAAAATAAAATGGTGGAGTGAGAAGCTGAAAATGAGCTAGTATCAGGATGACAAGCAGAGCACCTGCTGCACAGTATATAGTAAAGACTCTGCTCTCATACGGAAGGAAGCATTTTCGGAGGGAGAAGTCAGTTGGTGTTATGCTGCCCTGGAAAAGAAATGAAGACTGTCACTTTGCTGTTACAGTGGGCTCTGAATCAGGAGTAAACCCCACAGCTGTCAGATCTCCAGTTTCTAAACTCTGTCGGGTGGCAAGGGTTGGGGCCAGTTTCCTAGTACCAGTGCCTTCTCCAGGGGGCTGAGGAGTCCGTACCTTGTGGTACTGGGCACTAACTGGAATATTCACCAGGCCAACATTAGCCCAGAGGCCAATCCTCCCTATATTCCATCTAGCGTAAATCAAAGAGCTGGGCTCCTCATCTGATCTGCCTTCAAGAGAAGCCTAACTTTAGCTGCTGTAAATCCACCTGGAAGGAGCCTTCCCAGGCTAAAGTTAGGTTTGTGTGAATGTGCCCCTTCCTCCCCCCAAGCCCTCCTCCTACCCAGTACATGCTGCAAAAAACACGTTGGCTAATCCAAATTACAAACATGAACTTCAGCAACAAAGGATTTCATTGGGTTTTGGCTTGACTTTGCAGTTCAAACTGCAGTTTACACCAGACCGAGGCCGAGTTAAAACAGTAGTGAAGACAATTCAACTTTAATTAGCCAACCTCTTGTTTTGCAGTGAAGATGCACTGTCTGGCATGTGCAGAGAATGTGTGTAGTTTGAAGGCAGCTACTCTCAGGAATATGGAACAAACAGAACTACTTTCAACGAGAAATAACTAACAGTTGCATAAAATGAATTTAAAAGTTTGGGGTTATCTGTCTATTAAGCAGCCTAAACTCAGCAGCGGGGGGAAAAAAAAAAAAAAACAACCACACACCTGAAAAATTTCCCCCCCCCCCC